CGGCGCCGGCCAAGGCCCGGGCGGCGACGACGCCCAAGGCGCCGACGGGCGACGTCAGCGACGCCTACGTGTCGCCCGTGTCGCCCGAGGACGGCCGGCGCCAGTCCGCGTGGGACGTCGACGACCAGGGGTCCTTCCTCGACTACTCGCCGGACCCGAAGCACCACCGGCGGCCGTCGTCGGCGCCGGCGCGCCGGAGCTCTCGGGCCGCGCCCGCGCCCGCGCCGCCGGAGAACTCGAGCAACCGGCTCACGCCATCGGGCAAGCCCGAGCTCAGCGGCTCGCGGAGCGACAGCGCGCTCGCCGTGCGCGAGGAGGCGAAGAAATTCAAGGCCCGCGCCATGGCGACGCTCGACGCGCCGTCGCTGATCCAGCTCAGCCACGCGCGCGAGCTCTTCCGCGAGGAGGACGCCGCGGCGAAGAAGGACCGGCCCGGCAGCCCCAACTACCGCAAGAAGACGCTCGGCAACCGGCGCTACCTCGAGGCCACGGAGCGCCAGACGCCGGAGATCCTGCTGCGGCCGCGGCCCGTGAACCAGCGCGTCCTCGCCAGCGAGACGGCCGTGGTCCGCGCCGGGGCGATGGACTACGCGGACCAGGCGCGGAAGATGAACGACCAGCTGCTGCTCGCGGAGAAGGCGCTGCAGCAGCAGCGCGACCGCGACCGGGTCATGGCCCGCGCCCAGCGCCGCGAGCTCGCCCCGGCGCCCGCGGCCGCGCCCTCGGAGGGCGGCCGCGCGCGCGGCGCGGCGGGCGACTTCGACGACCCGCTGGCCTGGGCGACGCGCGGCGACGTCGACGACGACCACGGCGCGGGCCACGACATCGCCCTCGCCCAGCGCGCCGACATCCGGCGCCTCCAGTCCATCAAGTTCCACCGCTCGCCCTCCGGGCGCCACCACAGCGCGCGCGGCGACGACGGCTTCGACGCGGGCCGGGGGGGCTACGCGACGCCCCGCCGCCACGGCGTCGAGGAGTCCAAGGAGAACTGCGCGACGCCCAAGACGCCCGGCTCCCTCGACGCCATGGCGCCCACGAGCCCCCTGTCGCCCGACGGCGCGCCCACGAGCCCCCTGTCGCCCGACGGCGCGCCGCGGACGCCGCGGTCGTCCGACGCGCCGCGCGCGCGGGAGCCGCGCGCCGCGGCCGCGAAGCCCGCCTGGGGCCGCGGCGACGGGGGCAAGGCCGCGGCCGCGAAACGGGCCAAGGCGCGCAAGCCCCGCACGGTGGACCAGCGCTCCAAGGCCGCCGCGCGGGCCATCGTCGAGAGCCGCGAGTGGCCGCTCTACGGCACGCGGAACATCTCGCGCGTCGCGTGCAAGGACGCGCGCTTCATGGCCAAGTCCTGGGACTCGCTCCTCGAGGACGGCGCCCTCAAGTGGGTCGGCACGGACCTCCCCGGCGCCGGCACCTGGCAGCGCCGGGGGCTCGCGCTCCCGTCGACGGGCTTCGCGCCGGACGACGCCTACGACCCGGACGCGCCGCCGGTCTACGACATCGCCCGGGCCTTCGCGAACCACGACGGCGCCGCCGTCAAGCACCTCGTCCCCCGCACGCAGATGACCTACGCGGAGTACACGGGCACGGGCTACGGCGACTACGGCGACTACGCGCCGTAAACGTGCGGTGCTTGAGGTCGACGCTGCCGTCTTCTAGCTTCTCGCAATTGGCTTCTCGGCGGGGTGGGAGGCGCCATCTGGAGGCGCCCAGCGTCGCCGTCGGGCAGCGTTCTCTGCTGCCTTCTAGCTTCTCGCGGAGGAGGCGCCCAGCGTCGCCGTCGGGCAGCGTGCTCTGCGAACCCATGGGCCCGCCA